GAGGAACCCCCGCCAGGAGGAGCCATGAGGTCTGGACCAAGGAAGTGACCCAGGGGATGATGAGAAAGTGGCTTTGAGGGAGTCAAGGAGGTCAGGGACCATGCTGGTCCACAGGGCCTGCTGACACCCTGAGACAGCCAGGAGTCACTGCTGCTATCTCAAAGGAGAGGCCGAGATTGGGTGGCTCTGGCAGTACCTGGTAACTGAAGCCATGGGAGTGGACGAGATGGCACCAAGAGGGCATGCGGAGGAAAGAGAAGAGGTCCACCTCCCAAAGATGTCCCAGCAGTGTGACCACATGAAAATCTACCTGGGAGAGAGGAGGTTCAAGATCTAGAAAAATCTGAGCCCCAGGCTGGGTCAAGGTGTGACGCACACATACTTGGACTTCCCTCTTTTACAGCTCTGAAATGGAATTTCCATTCCTGGGGATGTTGTCATGCTCAGTCATGAGGGTGGGAGTAGAGTAGGGCAGAGGACACATGAGATTGGTACCGGAGTTAGGGGAATCTGGGAAAGAAATACAAAGGTAAGGAAGCAGGTGTGGGCTCTCCTGTTGGCAGAATGTCCACCTGCTATCCTTCAGTCATGGCAGTACCTGATTTCCTACAGAAGCAAAGTAAAGATTGTTACTTTACTTTTTTACAGATTCAGAAACTGAGGCTCACAGGAGAACACTGTGACTCCAGCCGCAGAGCTAGCAAGTGGCTCGCTGTCTTAGTTCTCTGGTGGTGGTGGTGGTGGTGGTGTGCCGTGGAGTTGATTTCAACTCATAGCGACTTTCTGAGGCTGTAAATCTTTACAGGAGCAGAAAGCCTCATCTTTCTCCTATTGAACCACTGGTAGTTTTTTGAATTGCTGACCATGAGATTAGCAGCCCGATCCGTAACAGCAGAAATACCACAAATGGGTGGCTTTAACAACCAAATATCCTTTTTTAAAGATTAGGAGACTAGAAGTCTGAATTCTAGGTGATGGCATCTGTTGTTGGTGTGAAGTGCTGTCCAGTCAGTCCCAACTCAGCGACCCTGCATAGGGTTTCCCAGAAGCCTCTGGTGGGTTTGAACTGTCAACCTTGTGGTTCAAGCAGCCCTTGCAGCCCTACAGTGCCACCCCAGGATTCCTGGTATTGGCTCTGGAAGAAGGTCCTTGTCTTGTCTAAGCTGCTCCTAGACAGTCTTCATGTGGCTTGGCATTCCTGTTCCTCGATCTTTTGACTTTTGCTTGCTTGTTTCTTCTCTTCTTCGTATCTCAAAAGAGATTAAATCAAGAGGTCCCTACTAATCCCATCTCATTAACATAACAAAGACAACCCATTCCCAAATGGGATTATAGCCACAGATATAGAGGTTAGGATTTACAACACATATTTTGGGGGGAACACAATCCAATCTATCACAGTGGCTCAGACATAATCAGTCCAGGCCTGTTTCTACAAATTAGCTGCCTCCTCCCTTCCTGGGATGGTGGGGACAGATGTGGCAGCTAACCTGGCAGATGAGGCCCTAATCTGGGGAGCAGGAGGGTACTCGGTGAGATCTGTCTCCCTTGCTTTGGACTCCTGCCTTCTAGCCCTACTGAAAGTCTGTGAATGTAGGAGAATGTGTGTGTGCCCATGAAGTTTCCCAGACCTCGGGAGTGGAGTGAAGCCAAGAGTATCCCCTTATATGCACTCAAGGCCTCCGCAGCTGCCCCCCCTCCCCTGAGCTCTACCCAGCCCATTGTGTCCCCTGAGCCGCCCCCCCCCCCACCGCCCCAGAGCTCTGCCCATGCCCAGCCCATTCTGTGTCCCCTGAGCTCTGGGCTCGACTCTAAGAGCCCTGAGCATCTACACCATATCCCACATTTGTCCCCAGGGAGCCACTAGGAAGAATCGGCACTAGACAAGATTCCCAGCAATCAGGAGACTCCCGTTAGTCAATATTCCCAGCAAGCTCCTAATGCATCTTCCCCCTCTGAATGGAGACTGTAATCCCAGTGCTGAGGCTAGCATTTGCTGGAGGTCTGGGAGGAGGCTGTTGTAGGCAGAGGGCCTAGGTAAGTCTAAGAGGTGGGATGTAGCCCAGCTGGGCTTTCTGGTACATACAGTGGGGAACCATGTTAAGTGCCCCTCATCCCCTCACCCATGCAGCACTTAGAGTAACTGATTCTTGAGACGTTACAGCGCAGTGGTCGCAGGGGTCAGCAAACGCTTCTGTAAAGCATCAGAGACAAATTATTTTAGACTTTGCAAACCACACAGTTTCTGTGTAACTACTCAACTCTTGTAGTTCAAAAACAGCCACAAACAATATGTAAATGAGTGTGGCTGTGTTCCAAGAAAACTTTATTTATGGGCACTGAAATGTGCCCATAATTCATAAATAATTTTCACATGTTACAAAATAGTCCTCTTCCTTTGATTTTTTTTCTAGTCATTTAAAAATGGAAAAATTATTCTCAGCTCGCAAGCCATACAAGTTTGCCAACCTCTAGGTTAGAATAAGGCTTCCGGAGCCAGACTGACTGGATATGAATTGTGACTCTACTGTGTCACCTTCAGCAAATAGATACATCTGTCGATGTGTCCGTTTTTCATCTGGGACAACAGGCAGACTTTGAGAGAACAAAATGGTGTGGCCACTTTGGAAAACAGTTGGCACTCCCTCAAAAGATTAAATACAGACTTATCACATGACCCAGTAATTCTACTCCTAGGTATATACCCAAGAGAAATAAAAACACACATCCACACAAAAGGTTGTACACAGATGTTCACCATTCAGAGTTGCCAAAAAAGTGGAAACAACCCAGATGCCTACCAGCTGATGAATGGTGAGGCAAGTGTATCCATACAATGGAAGATTATTCAACCATAAACAAGAATCAAGTTCTGATATGTACTACCACATGGATGAACCTTGAAAACAGTATGCTCAGTGAAAGAAACCAGACACAAAGGTCTACAGATTTTTTTAAATGTAGAAAATAGGAAAACCCCACAGAGACTGGAAGTAGACTCATGGCTGCCAGGGAGGAATGGGAAGTGACTGCTAGCGGGTCTGGAGTTTCTTGTTGGGATGATAAAAAAGTTCTAGAATTGCATAGTTATAATGCTTGCACAATTTTGTAATATACTGAAAATACTGGGTTGTACACCTTAAAAGGGTGAATTTGATGGCATGGGATTAGAGCTCGAATTTTAAAATGATCATTCTTTATAAAGCTGTTGTAACAGTGAGTGCATGGGAAGCACTTAGAATGGTGCCTGAGGCACAGTAAACACATGGTTGTTCCCCTCCCTGGTTGTGTTGGGGTCTTGACAGGGCCATGGGGTCTGTCCCGCTCACAGTTATCTCCAGGGCTCAGCACTGCCGTCAAGTTTCTGCCGTCCCACACACCAGGGTTGAATCCTGACAGTACAGACAGCAGGCACCTTTGGGTGAGTCATTTTTCTGCTCTGAGACCCAGGAACAGTCACAATAATAACTACTTCACAGTGTTGTTCTTGCTGGGGGCCCATCAATCAGTTGCAACCCCATGTGGCAGAGCTGTCCCATAGAGTTTTCTAGGTTGTAATCGGTCCATGGCACATATCAACAACAACAATCATTACAGAATGAATGAATGACTAAGGAAGCCGTAGAAGAATTGATGCACTTGAATTACGGTGTTGGAGAAGAATATTGAAATTATCGTGGATTATCAGAAGAACAAACAAATCTGTGTTGGAAGAAGTAGAGTCAGAATGCTCCTTAGAAGCCGGGATGGTGAGACTTTGTGTCTCATACTTTGGGGGCACCAGTCCCTGGAGAAATATTCCATGCTTGGTAAAGTGGAGTGTCAGCGAAAACAATGAAAACCCCAAATGAGATGAAATGGCCCAGTGACAGCAGCAGTAGGCTCAAGCAGAACACCAGTGAGGATGGTCAGGATCAGGGAATGTTTCCTTCTGTTGTACATATAGTCACTATGAGTCAGAACTGACTCAACGGCACCTAACAACAATTTTTACAGGAGCAGCGCCAGGTGTCTCTTCTGTGGAGCAAGCAGCTGGGTGGGTGTGAACCACCAACCTGAGCATTTAACCATTGCACCACCATGGTTCCTGGTGTTCAGGATCAAATGGTGCCAAGCACTGAGGGTATGTGAGGTCTCCCGGGCCCCAGTCAGCCAGCACTGGCCCTGGGAGGCTGATCTCCCAGCAAGTGTTTCCAAGGTATGAAGGAAAGGCTAGTTAGGTTTCCGCACTCTTCATGACAGCAACTCGACCCTCAGACCCACCCGTTACTACACCATCGGGGCTAGGGACTCCCTGTGCCTGAATGAATGCATACACTTGGGTGCACCCAGAGCAGCCAGGGCCAGGAAAAACATCTTTATCTTTCCGAGCCTCAATTTGTCTAACTGTCAAATGAGTTCACTACTCAGCTCCTGCCACTTTAGGTGTCTGTGATGATAAGATGTTACAGTGAGTGCCCAGCAGGTTTGAAATGCTCAATGCATGTCAGCTTTTATGAGAATTTACTAAAAGTATTTCTTTTCCAAGTCTGCTGTGTGTTAGGCACTGCTCTAGCCACTGGGGATCTAGTAGAGAATAAAACAGACAACAATCCCTGCCTACATGGCAGCAGGCTAGGCAGACAAGAAACAAAATCAGTAAGTGAGATTTGAGGACTTGATTGAAAAAATCAGCTGAGAATGGCTTTGGGAGTGTGGGACCTCAGCTTTACAGAAGGTAGTCTGGGGAGGTCCAACTGAGAAAGGGATAAGGAGCAAAGACTTGAGGATGGGAAGGAGGGAGCCAGGAGGGTTGTTAAAGGAAGGACATTGCAGGTAGAGGAAACATCAGAGCAATGGCTAAGTGTGAGGAGATTGGGGTGGCTGGAGGGGGATGAGGGAGGTCCTGGGGGAACTTCACAGGGGTGCCACTTTGACATCTAGAGAGACTGGGAGCCCTGACTTAGGCTACAATCACTGTGACTGTGTCCAGGACTGACATCCCTTGTTTCCTCCTGCAGGATCAGCCGGGGCCTCCATGGGCGCATGAAGGCCAGGCGCCAGGGCCGCGGGCACGAGCATGGTGAGACACCAGCCCCTGCAGTACTATGAGCCCCAGCTGTGCCTCTCCTGCCTCACGGGCATCTACGGCTGCCGCTGGAAGCGCTACCAACGTTCCCATGATGACACCACACCGGTGAGCCACACTGTGCTGGGCGGAGACTGAGGGACCAGGGAACCCCAGCTAGCATGAGGGTCAAGCATAGGTTTGCTGTATGAGTCTAGGTGGGCCAATGCCCCGTCTGGGTTTCAGTTTCTCCCTGTGTGGTATGGGCTCATAGAAATCCCTGGATTTACCTGACCGGGTGGGCAAAAAAAACTCCTCCTTTCCTACATGTGAAGCATTCAGAGGCCACTGGTCACACTCCTCTAATGGGGTGAGGTCTTGGCAGAGAGGGGAGCTCCATGAGGGAGGAGTCATTCCAAGCTGATCAGAAGTTCTCAGTGTCCTGGCAGATCCGGACAGGCAGTCAGGCAGGCAAGTGCCTGGAGAAGATGCTGAGAGGTGGGCCTGGTCATCCCAGAACCTGGGAATTGGCAGGACCTTGCCCTGGCACCAGGGCCCGATCACCTGAGCTTCAGGCTTGCCAGGGCTGACAGCAGGTGTTCAACAGGATAAAGCCTCCTTCAGTGCCCAGCTCCCCGGGCCAAACCTGGAGTCACACTCCTGTCCCTGGGGCGCTCTCTGCCAGCAGATCTAGTTTCTTCCCTGAAGGAATCCAGTTCCTGTGTAGTGTTTATCTAAAGCTTTTATTGTCTAAAAAATAACACTTTCTCCTGTGCATTTGCACGAAAAGGCCAGCCTCTGAATTCAGCCAGCCCCCAAACAGGCCGGAGTGGTCAAGGGGCCAGAGAGGCTGAGGCCAGAGGCCATGTGCTGGCCAGAGAATCTGGGTGGGGCAGTCAGAGAAACTTGTCTGCCGTCTGTCTGCTTGTCATCAGCCTGTCTGCCTAGCTTCTCTGTTTGTGGTGGTGAGGAACAGAGCTCTATAACAAGTCAGGAACTAGGTTCTCCAGATAGGAGAAGCAGGTATCACCAAAACAGGTCCCAGGTCTCTACCATTCCATATGCCAGCCAGTACAGGGCCTGGCACAGAGGGGCAACAGGGTCGGGAAGGGACCTGCCCGAGGCCACAGAGCTCTGCAGTCAGATGGACCTGAAGTTCAAACCATGCCTTTTCCACTTGTACCGAGTTGATTTTGAACTTGAATTTCCTCATTTGTGACGCACACACACCCCTCAAAGAACTGCTGTGGGGAGGTCATGAGACCATGACCTATGGCCAGCCATTCAGACAAATCAATCCAGATTCCTGGTCCTGCTCTCAGGAAGAGGTGGATTCGATGACAGAATTCGTTGGCCTCTCGGCTTTACTCCAAGCTAAGTCCTTCCCAGGGTTGGGGCTGGTGCCGTGCACTGACATGTCCTTACCCGTGAGCTCGATGTCCTCGTTGCATTTCGCAGATGGAGAAACCAAAGCCAGAGATAGGAGTGAGGGACAGAGTTAGGGCCTGGATCCAGGTGAGGTAGGCCCAACACCATCCGTGCTCTCAGCAAGGGTTGTTGTTGTTGTTAAGTGCCCTCGAGAGGATTCCAACTCACAGCGACCCTGCATAGGGTTTCCAAGGAGCACCTAGTGGGTTTGAACTGCCAACCTGTGGTTCACAGTCCTATTCTTATCCCACGGTGAGGCCGGCCAGAAAGCCCATGATCACTGAAGTAGACTCTGGAAGAAGATGAATTGCCCAGAATGTCTCTCATCCCTTGGTGGGTTCTGGGCCAGCCAGACACAGGCCATGAGTCAGGAAGTGGTGGTTCTTGGCTGTGGCCAGCACATGACCCAGAGAAAAGAAAGGAGCAAGGCCAAGTGTGAGCTGACTGGGAGTTCAAATGGTGCTGGCTCTATAAATACCAGGGCCCCGGGGTGCCAGTGTCCTGGCAAAGGCTGGAGAGGGTGACTGGAAGCTGCATGCCACATTGACTGGGAGAGGGGAGAGGATTTTGTAGCAGCTCTGGATGTCAAAGCCTTTACAGAAAGGGCTGAGCTCACCTCAGGTGACCCTGAAACTCACAGCAAAGGATGAGCATCCTCTTCTCCCTCCGCCAGCCCCTCACCTCCCATTTCTCCTCCCACTTCCTGGGTTCCATGCACAGCAGCCCTCACCCTCTCTCTCTCCTCTTTTCTCCCGAGGCAGCTGGGAGAGGCAGTGATGGGGGCTGGGCTCTGGGCCAGGCATTGTGAAGACACCGGTGGGTATTCTTGGGTCTCAGAGACAGGGTGGCATAGTAGGTGCTCCATACACGTTGCTGAACAAACAGAGATCCCAACATAAACTCTGGGAAACCAGTGGGGTCAGGAGAAGAGAAGAGAGCTGTCTGGCTGTGGAGAGTGGGAAGAGAGGCCTCTGCAAGGAGAAACGCACTGCCCTGAAGTCAGTTCTGACTCAGTGACCCTGTGTAAGGTTTCTGAAGGAGCCTGGTACTGTAATGGGTTACACGGTGGGCTGCTAACTGCAAGGTCATCAGTTTTAATCTACCAACTGCTCTGCAGGAGAAAGATGAGGCCTTCTGTGCCTGTAACGATTTACAGCCTTGGAAACCCTATACAGGATCGCTGTGAGTTGGAACAGACTCCATAGCGTACCACTACCGTAGGGTTTCTGAGATTGTAAAATCATTATAAGAGCAGACAGTTTCATTTTTCTCCTGGGGAGTGGCTGGTGGGTTTGAACCAGTGACCTTAGCGTTAGCAGCCCAATGCCTTACCCACAGTGCCAACAGGGAAAGGAGGGTCTATTAATGAACCTTGTACTACCACCTTCCCCTTTTCATTTGGAGACCTCTGCCCAAGCTTCACATCACCACTGTCTCCCCTCAGGTCCTCGTTGGGGAACCCCCTGCCTCGATCCCACCTGCATCCTCCAATCCAGAAAAGCTTGGGTTCAAGTCCCTCCCCTGTGAAGCCTGACCTCTCTGGGCCTCATCTGTGAAATGGGGTGACAGACAGGTGGGTGTGTCGCAGAAGGATCTCACTCTCATCCTTCTGCTGAGAAATGAAGGGTGAGCATAATAGTAACAGTTGATGTTTGCTGAGCACCTACTGTATGCCAAGAGCCTTGCCAAGTGCTTTACAGGCATTGCTTCATTTGTTGTTAATACTCCGAATGGGCATGGGTAATTGTCATCCCCATTTTAGGGATGGGGTCTCAACCAGGGAACCTGTGATAGATGCTCAAGAGGATGGAGGTTGGCAGAGCGCCAGTGTTTTGAGTATGTGTGTTTCGATGAAGGAGCCCTGGTGGTGCTGTGGGTTAAGCATTTGGGCTGCTAATTACAAGATCAGCGGTTCAAACCCACCAGCTACTCCATGGGAGAAAGATGAGGCTGTCTGCCCCTGTAAAGATTTATAGTCTGTGGAGCAGTTCTACTCTGTCCTTTAGGGTCACCATGAGTCAGTCGCCTCAGTGGCAGTGGGTCTGGGTGTTTGAATGAGACAGCACTGGCAAGCGATGAAAGGCGGGGAGGGGCAGTGGCCTGATGGGCAATGGCCTGATGGAGGAGAAAAAGCACTGGCCCAGGAATAGGTGGGAGAAGATGGGAGTGTCCTTGATGCTGGGCTGGAAACGATGTTTCCCCTGCTAAGATCTAGCCCTGAAGTGGACCCTGGAAGGGTACAGTTTGGACAGAGAGCTTGGGGGGAGCCCCCTTCCTTTCCTTCCTCCTTTCCCAGCCAGCCTGACACATCCTCACCTCCTCCAGCCTGTGCTCACATGGCCCCTCCCCCCAGATCACACACTTGACAAATAAGGAAACAGGAAACTGAGGACCAGAGAGGTGACATGACAATCCACCTGCCTTAGCTCTGGAGTGGAGCAGTCTGGCAGCAGAGGCTCACTCCCCAGTAAGGAAGGGAAGTGAAGCTTTTTATAACTTGGGATAATTAATTGGTTGTTGTCTCTGACTCATTACTGTACCACTGCCAATTAAGGACCTGGTACGACAGAAGATTGTACGTAGAGCCCTAAAGACATTGTGTCTGTGGGAGGCAGCACAGTGTCAACCAGCTTCTTTGTATATAGCAAGAGGGATACAGGTCAGATACCTGGAGGAACTTCCCAGTCACAGAAACTGAAGCAGACAGGACACATTTCTATGGCATGTTTTGCCTTTGATCCCCTCCAGGAAAAGTACATGATTTATCCAAACTGAGAAGCTGAAAGCCTGTAACTTGCAGCTCCATCCTGTACCCTTTCCTCGTTCCACACAGTGTTGTCTGGGATTCAATGATTATTCAGTCAACAAACTTGTCTTGGTACCTGTTCTGGTCCTGGCCCTGTGCTGGGTCCTGGGTCTCAATGGATTAGACCTGGTTCCTCCTCAATTGGAGTAGTTCCAGGCTGGTGAGGGAGCAGACAGCCGACACACCCAGACCACCCAGAGGCTGAGGGAAACAGCAGGGCAGGAAAAGGCTGAGCCCACACCCTGCTGGAAGGAGCTGGTGTCTGAAAGAGTGAGCCCATCTCTTCAGAGTGGGGAAGTGTTCAAGGCAGGGGAAACTGTATGTGTAAGAGAGTGTTTGGGGTTTGGGAACTGAAAGTAATTTAGCTGCAGTGTGATTAGAGTATGAGCAGGGGGAGGGTGTTGCCTAGTGGGCCTCAGGGTCTTGAAGCTGAACAGAAGAGCTTGCACATCATTCAGAGCAGTGGGGATTTCTTAGGCCTTAGGAGGTCCACTCTGGCTAGAACATGGAGAGGGCATTGAGGGGCCTTGAGTAGAGGTGGGGTGCAAAGAGGTCACAAGAAGAAAGCCTCAGCTGAAGTGGGTAGGGCAGTCAAAGGCTGGTAGAATGCTGTTAGGTGCTGTCGAGTTGGTTCTGACTTATAACGAATGACCCCATCTACAAGAGAAGGAAATACTGCCCAGACCTGTACTAGCCTCACAATCTTTGTTATATTTGAACCCATTGTTGAACCCAGATGTAACTGGTCAATCCATCTCCCTGAAGGTCTTCTTCTTTTTTGCTGACCCTCTACTTTACCAAGCACAATGACTTTATCCAGGGACTGGTTGTCATTGTTGTCCGGTGTCATCGAGTCGGAACCAACTCATAGCAATCCCATGCACAGCAGAATGAA